CAAGGTAAAAGGCAAGTAACAACTTAAGTTGGAGACAGAAAATCAAATTAAGTCAGAAATGTCATCAAATGAAAGTTAGTAGCATGGTAAATATACAAACCAGCTATTACCCAGGTATTAGTAAAGAATGCTGCTTTAAAAAAGGCTCATCCTAGCCTCCAAGGAAAAATGACAAAGATAATCACTTAGTAGCAAAATAAAACTCATCACCTTATAAAACAAAAGGATTCTGACCAGTATGAATCTAACTACTACACACGATTATTTCTATTGATGTATTCAGACACAGACTATCATTCTTATCGAGTAACTAAGCAACACAATAAGTTGTTTTAACCATCCATCTATTGCACTTGTACTTTCTGATAAATATGCTAGCTTCAACACCCAAACAAAAATATACTTACACCATATACCTTGCTAAAGCATTCAAAATGATTACCCCTCCCCCATCCTAAGGGCCTGCTATATTCACATATGTTAGGGCATAATGCAGTTTTATCTCAAATATGTTATCTAAACTTGTAGAATAGTCAGTCAGCATTATGGAATTCTAAATATATTAAGTCTAGGACAAGCAGGCATATATTGACTGTCTGTACTGCAAATTGCAACCAAACAATAAAGATAGACCCTCACATGATCAAATTTTCTTAATTCTAAATCTCTCCCTCACTCAGTGTCATATTAGCAGCATAATTAGGGACAAAGGGGCTTGGAGAGAAGGTGCCAACAGCCATACTATATCTTTTATCTTCAAACAGCAAATGCAGGAATCACCAAATGCTGATGTAAGGCAATATTTATCAAGGCCTTCACATCACTGAAACCAAGGACAAAGCAGACACATGAATGAAAAGTAATATATGAGGGGGAAATTATATCTGGGATATTATGCAGATAAATTTAGGTCTGAATTCATGACAGCCAAAACAGCTTGCAAAAGCCATTTTTATGTTTCTGTGCAACTACCATGTTTTAATAGCTACAATGTCTGAAGCTCTATACAGGATACAGTCTCTGTAATCTGAGAACGTATAAGCCTTCTCTATGAAAATGAGCATCTTTACTTCCACACAGGAACACTGCAACAAAATAGGCTTACATTGTTAATGCTTTATATAGTCACTATTAAATGAAATTCTATCAAATTAATTTCCAGACTGTCACAAATGTCCTTCATGACTTGCCTACCAAAGACAAGTTAAACACCCTAAAGCCACATTTTTACCTCATGGTATTCAAGTTAGAATTATCTATTTTGTATTTGCAAAAGAGGCTGTTATTATTAGGTAGAACTGCCATTCCACTGTTTTTGTTTAATTTCAACCAACTTGTCCAAGTAGGCCATTTGGTAGAAACCTATAAATGGCACCCAAGGGGTCTGGGTTCTTGCTGTAAAGAGGTCAGCTATTTCCTTCCAACTAAAAATAGTCAAGAGGATAGAGGGAAAGGAGGAGTAGAGTTTAATTTAGCAGCTGAAAAAGAGTTTACAAAATTACTTCCATCTTGCCTCATGATGGCTTGTTAATTTTTTTTTTCCTAAATGGGCCTGCTCATGAGAGGTAGAGATTCTTTGTTATTTTATAAGGCTGGCTGGAGTATACCCAGCACAGAAGTTAATATAGGACACAAATTAAAACAACTACAATGTAAATAAATGGTGGGAAAGATGTACAGAAAATATGCAGGAAAAGTACACCCTCCCCATAGTGCATGAATTCAAACAATTACAGCACTATCAGGTGGTTTTAACAAAAGACCCATAAAGAGATGGAGACACAATCTATGTAGCAGAGTGCATCATGATGAGTCAGAAGGTTTGGGTTCCAAACCTGACTCCACCACTGACCTATGAGACTTACACAAGCTATTTCCCTTCCCACCCACACTCTAACTTGTCTATCTCAAAACAGACCTCTTTAGGGTAGTCAGTACCTTTTCCTAGTACATGGGTGTAGAGGACCAAGCATAACAGAGCCCTGAGCTGAGTTGGGGGCTCAAGACAACACTGTGATACAAACAGAATCCATGCAAAATAATTTACAGGGTAAATTTTGACCCCTACATTTAAAAATAACAAGAAACAACAGGAAATCCTAAAAGTAGACAGACCCAATGACCTAAGCACTGTCTATCTGTATGGCCATGCAGAAGCCCTGGGTCATTTTCCACAGCCTAGTGCCTGGATTCCCAAGATGGATGGGACACAAATAGTACTTAATACCCAGTATTTCCCAGTACTGGTCTCTGGGGACCATTAAGGCATGGAATCAATGAGCTCCAAAGGATGTCTCATCTGGTCCTTTTCAGTCACACGGGTGTGAGTCCTCAATAAATTATTGCTGCCTACAGAGTGACGACAATTCCAGAAGGTCTTCCAGGAGGCAAGGTATATTATAAAGCTCAAAAGGATAGGCCCTGTAACCATAGAGATGGGGAAATCCCATTTTTAAATAAATGCAAAACCTGAAAAACTGGTGGGACAGAAGCCTCAGAAATGTGAAA